CTTATCGGACGCAAACCCTCCATCCAAAGTTTTCTCTCAGACAGTTACCGAGCGAATCGTGACCTACCATCGTTTGAAGTCTCATCAATGGGGGGTTCGCCCAGCCGCGCTGCGTCAACAACAACAACAACAAGTGATAATCATAGTTCATTTTGGTCAGCACATCAAGACCCCTCCACATATGCGGCCAGTGTTTCCACCGCTTACTCTCGACCTCCTTCAATGATCAGCGATGGCGCTATGCGCCAGCCTCGCCGTGCCGAGCGTAAAGTGCAGGGCAAGGCCGAATTCATAGAGGACCTCCGTCAGCACCTGACAAGCCTTCTTTTGAGTGATCTGGGTTCACCAGTGTGGAGCTGTGGTAGCGAAACGGACGCTTGGTTCGCCCGCTACCTCAGCCACCCTCCGGTCAAAGCTCAAATGCAAAGACAAGCATCTTTTCAGAAGTTCTACTCTGATTACGAAAAGCGATCAACTCACTTTGAAAAGCAGCGTCAGTCAAGTGGAGCGCGACGAAGTCGATCCCTCGACCGCTCCTGGGGATTTACACGAAAGGGCCCATCCGCAGACGTGTCTGGACACATGCGAGGTGGATCTGACAAAGATGGTTTCCCCGGCTTCTCATATGAAGATGTGTTCCGCCGTCTGCTCGATACTTTCTCGCGCCATGGCAATCCACTAGTCAAGCTTAGCGCATTGAGGGACTTGCGATCCATGGTGATAGCCTCTTTGGTACCTGTGCAAGAGAATGACTCAACAATTAGACGGGCGACGAAAGCCGGTCAAGGCAATGGGAGAGGGTTCAAGACATTTCCCCGAGCATGCGCTGGGCGAAGAAGCTTCACGGACCTTGACATACCTTCGCTGTACCAGGCAGATACCACGATCCCGGCAATGGCTCCAGCTGCATCTCTTCCGTTCGGGTCCACACGCTCCACTCATGATGTTCCTGAGGAGGAAAAGATCGTTGCTACCTTCCGAAAACTGATTCTGGATGTCAAGCCAAAGACACTCTTTCGTGACTTGCAGTACATATCTGCTTTTGTACCCACGGAGTATTTCACTAAATCTGATCGCGAAACCGCATTTCTTCAATTCGGTCTGGCTGCTCTGAGCCTCAAAGAAGAAGTGTGTCACGGTATGGTGGAGGTTGCCGATCGAATTGTGTCTCAAGAGCTCCTGCGACGACATCCCCTTCCTGGGGCAGGCTTCCACTCACGACCGGTTCATGCTATCGACGATGCAGCAGAGATGTGGATTATTACAGCCAAGGAGGGGAATCCCATCGCGCAGCGTGAATTGGCCATTCTCTATTTAACTCATCCCGAACGACTGCAACGTGTCACGCTGCCTCTAACTCGACCGCGTGATACATTCAAGGCTGAGATGATGTATCGGCGCGGCAAGGATTCCAAGTCCGATCCGCAGAGCATGTGCCTGGCACTACACTGGATGCAGCTTTCAGCCAACGGAGGGGACATCCTTGCACGCAATCGGCTTCGCGAACGAGAGGAATTTGATTCTATTGCATGAGAACTCGCGCTTTGATTGTGTCATCGACTTACATCTTTGAGTCTTCATGTCCCTTAAGGGCTGTGTTTTCTATCGCGCTTAATTTTTGCCTTATTATTCTTGACTTCATACGCATTTGTTTCTTGCACATCTATTTGTCTACTTCTGGATGCGACAGGGCAGGCCTTGATCTCGTCTGATTCTTTCTATGCATACACTGATACCCCTTTTATTGATGTCGTCATTTCTACTCTATACACTTTCTGTGGTCCTCTAGGGTGCTCATCTTTGCTTTGGCGTGATGTCGAATAGGGCATAGGATATATTCTCCGTAGATCTGAACAAAATGGGGTTATTCTTCTTTGAATTCAAGTGGATGATTTTGTGGACGCTCAGGAGAACTAGGAAAGGGATGATCTGGGCAAACAAGGTATATCTAATCTACTCATGTCACTGGGTAAGCTACCTAAAATCAACTTCCGGCCCGGCTGTCGAGTTCGGGTTGTTGACAAGGCAGCGGGCAGGTATGGCAGTCGGAGTGACATGCACGGGCGGGCTACTTGAAGGCACCTCTCCAAAACGCTACGTTGGATCACGTCCATTATACCTTCTGAAGTACATAGGGTTGACGGTTCATAATCATTTAATGGCGTATGTTGTATACGGTACCCACTGCAGACTTGAGAGTCTTCAAAGCCTCCAAGTGGTAATTAAATATGTAAATAAAAACGGGGCGCAGACCTAGCCTACACGGATATCATCGAAGCTTCCCCGGGCCGTCAGTATGTACTGTCCACTGCAGTGGGAACTAAGGTGTATACTGTGCAGATATAGGTGGAGTCCTTATTACTGGAAGGATGTAACTCGGAACTGAAACCATGCCAGTCCTTCCTTTCTAACATTCTGGATCATCCTGCTTCTGGTCCCCATTGTACGAGCACTGTATGAGCAGCTAAGTAGGTATCGGCTCACGATTCCGGCTTCCTTTGCAGACCGGGTCAAGTGCCCGGGACATATATATAGATGGAGATCGGCGCGTGTCATCCCCTGGTGGGAACGTGAGTCAAGCGATCTGGAGCGGGTACTTGTTCCCCAGCATGCAACCTGACTCGCAACCCAATGTATAAAGCCTAAAAGGGAACTGGTGGCACTGATCCTCTGTCGATGTCCAGCTTGCTTCACTGCTGGGGTCAAAGTGTACTTCAGTTCTGCGGGAAGACGTCAGGCGCCAAGCCCGACGTCATCAAACCCCACGTGCCCTCACCATCTGCACGTCTTCAACTCTCGCAGCTGACAGTGAACAGTCACGGCTGATCTTCATTTTCACATATCTCTTGTCATCGCCCAAACATCAACTTTCAAGGGTCTCACGACGTCGCAAAGCTCACTTCGTTTGCTCTCAAACGCCGGGCCTGGTCAGAATTAAAAAGACCCGCCTTATAGCCACCCCGCGCGATTTACCCCTCCAACGAAACCAACCTTCACAACAACCTTCACTTGATCAAGTCTCTCGCCGCCTTTCTGTGCGCTGCTTATTTCCTCACCAACGATGACGACCGCGCCAAGTATGCCTGCAAAGGCTCGAAGCACCGACGATGTGCACATTAGACCTAAAGGTGAGTCTCATCGTCAAAAGAGAGCAGAGGAAAATAGAAAACCAGCTGGAGCGGGGTAGAGGGAGGTTCAGCGCCCAAATCCGGGCAACTTGCTAATCGGGCATTGCCGACCTCACTATATAGGTATTCTCAAGAACAACAACTCTTTCCAAATTGCCCCGGTGTCTGCGCCCGCTGCAGCGGCGCGCCCGAGCATTTCCCCTCTGGCTGAGACCGGCGACACCAAGGAGTTGACCCTTCAGAACACGTTGGTGAATGCGGGCCGTCGACGGTCCTCCACCGCACGGTCGGGCTCAGATCTACGTCGGCAATCGCAAGTCAGTCAGCATGACGAAAACGAGCCTCGTCTGAAATGGGACGAGGCGAATCTCTATCTCACGGAGCAGGAGCGCACTGCGAAGATGAAGATCGATGAGCCCAAGACGCCTTACGCTCCGCACTATGACCCAGCTGAGGATGAGGAGGAAATTGAGATGGAAGAGGCCCAAGAAAGATTGATCGACGTGCAAGATTTAGTGGTTGATGAACTCGACAAGACCACTCGTGGAGGTCACCACAAGAAGGGCGTTTCGGAGGACGACATTCCAGACCTCGAGCTGGGTGAGGCGGAAGAGAATCCCGGCGCTCAGGAGGGCCCGGCCCCTCGGATCTACCGCGAGCGGAGTATGAGTACGGAGTCACACAAGAGTGACAAGCATGTTGTGGTTGAGCCTGACAACAATGGGGAGGAGACTGCGGCAGAGGGCGATCTCATTTCTACCGAAGAGGCAAAGGAGAAACACCGCCAATTTGAGGAGCATCGGAAGAAACACTATGAGATGCGCAATATCAAGGAGTTACTCGCGTAAGTCAAGAATATTGCGGAACTGGGGTGACGCAGAATCCCGAGATTTTTATGGCCCCACGACTGATTCTTATATCTTTCAGGCATCCAGAGGAACTTGATGAAGATGAGATGGATGAGGAGGAAGATGCGACTGTGCCCGGTGCCGCGCCTGCTGTTCCCAGCATCCCTGGACAGTTCCAAAACGGCGGACAATAAGCTCTGCAAAGCCAACCGAGTCAACACGTTCCCCAGCATTTACTTTTCTTCAACTTGCTTTTCGATAGGCCTTTCGCACTTACTCATTCCGCCCGACCGCCTAGGCTGAGGTCACTATTGAGTATTGAGGGGCGATCTAGTGCCTGTTCAACTGCCTTTTCAGCTGCTTCTACGGCTGCCCTTTTATTTTCCTACTTGCTTTTCATTATTCCGGTCAATTCGCATATTCCCCAGCGGCCTGTCTCTCATATCGGGTATTTTCTATTAAGATTGAATCCCACCCTGTTATTCTCTCAGTCTCCCCATATCGTATCCTTTGTTTGGGATGTTGATAATTAGTCCCTGCGGACTTAACCATGACAAATCATATATTAATATAGTAGGTTCAAGAAGCCTAAATCAGTATCAGTATGCTTGGTAGCATTTGGCCGTCAGTATCTCTCAAGTGGTGCGTTTCCACTTTCTTGTCCGCCGCTCGTGAGCACAGCTCTTTGGAGTTCGACAAGGTCTCAAGACACTGAGCAGTCTACGTACCTATTCATGGAACCCGTCAGTCCATAAGCCTGCTGCTACATGTTACTCACTTTAGTAGCTTTGGTCCCAATGATTAGTGGCATCTCAATATTGCCTTTTGGGCGAAGATGGTTGCGTACTATTAGTCCGCAGCTCTGCTCAGAAAGATAAAAACATTTGACTCACGCGCAGTCAATTGCAGTGTGTTCAGTCTTGGTATCCAAGGCAAGAGGAAATGAGAATTTGCTGGAAGCACGCAAGAAATAAAAAGGGCACATCGTGGACGAGAGGAGGGGAAAAAAAACCAGACACAAAAATAGCAAGCCCTGGTTTCGATCCAGGTACCTTCGGGTTATGAGCCCGACGCGCTTCCTATGCGCCAGCTTGCTTTGTTGTTGAAGAATTGTGACTCATTTCCATTCAAGAGGGTGGGGCTCTGGAAATTTAGGCAACTCCATGTTAGTTACCAGGTACCGAGGGATGGTCTTCGATGAATGTTCTCTGGACTAACTCTATTGCGTTAGTGTGATGGGTGGTGGATGGGCTATGCCGGTTTGAGGCTAGGTTGAGTGGGTATGATTCAAAGATTTTGCTGGGTCGGAAGTTGGAACAGATTATCTCAGATATTCCGTCGTATGGACTGGGAACTTTGAAGTGTGAAGTTGTTGGCCAAGTCATGCAGAAAGAAGGAGATAGGCAGATCAATAGGATGCTCTGAATGGTTAGAGGGCAAATTGTAGATTCGTTTACCTCCTTCTACCCCCGCCGGGACTCTAGTCTAGCTGATGATGTATTCCAAATCAGAACAAGTCGGCAATGGATGGTTACTACATATATGGGGTTCCTGCTTGCATATGGCCAAATAATCAAGCAGTCCTTGCTTCTAAATGCATATGGCGGGCACACTCAGACCGCTCAGACGGCGGCCTTGGAGTCCCGCATCACCAGTGGTAGTACGCTGGGCGGGCATGTCAAGTATACCCCTGAAATCGATGGAATCTCATGATAATTTACTGCAACAGTAGACGTATGGGGCATGCTCCAAATCTGGCTAGAAAGATTGTATTAGCTCGAGCTTCACGAATCCTTCTCGTCTCTAAGATTGAGATCTAGATTGCAGTAGCAGCTCCGCGATAATCAAGCCCGTTCCATGCCAAGTGGAGGTCGAGACATGTGTACTTGTATTACCAGTCAGACTCACTACCAGTACCTAGTGAGGTAGGGCTGTTGCCTCAGACATGGCCATTTCAAGTGAATCGGGTATGCGACTCTTCAACCGGTGCGCTTTAATTATTTGCGAGGAAACATACTGAGTTCCTAATGGCCACTAGTACGTTCATGCAACATTGATTCACAATTGAATGTATCCAGTGATCCACAACCCAGCAAGATATAGATTGGTGGGAGCTTCATCCTCTTCCCGAGTAGGTCACAGTGGTCAGGAAGGCCCAGGCAGAAGATTCATAAAAGGTCATTTACGGCAACATCGGTACGGTGTAGCTTGAATTTCCCTATTGACTCTTCACTTTGGCGTTCATTTGCAGTTTCTCCACAAGTTGAAGATCATTCACCGAACCTACGGCCTTGATCAATGACCAGTACAGTGTCAAAACACGTACATCGGCGCATGCCGCAGAGCGACTGACCGCATTCAAGGACAATATGAAGGATCACATTAATGGATCCGCTTCCCCTGGGACCAGCATCTATTCTACCCGATAGACCAGGCCATTGGATGAGGGACACAATCCCAGTCCAACACGACACGCTGGCTTGATTGATGCAAAGGGCTGGACTTCCCTCGCTCTCAACAGGCGAGTGTGCTATGCGGACCGTGTGTACATTGCCTCGCCGCTTGTCCAGCAGACGGGGATGTGTGGATGGGTATTGTTACTTGGCCTGGAGTTGAGCCACTTCCGACACTTTGCGGCGCTTTCTGGGTAGCTGCTGGGCTGGGCTAAAATTGAGATTGTTTATGTTCAGATCCGGCAACTCAATGATTCAGTCCGCGTCTCCCAAGCCGTGAGATATGGAGCTGCCTCATCGCCGGGGGATCTCTCGGCGGCGAATAGATATAATGACCCCCCGAAATCTTTCCACCGGAACTAGACAGTCGTTCGAGTCAGATAGTCCCTTCTCGGCCAGGAATCGATCTGATCGATTGTTCTCCTTGATCAAATGCATAACTCCGTTCTTGAGTTTCAGATGCCCGCCTCTTCAGGATGGCGGGTGGGGGCATCTGGCCCGACTCTAAAATCGACCTATGGTTACGGCCGAATCGACAACTCCGCGAGCCCCTGCATCGCGATTGCTCTTTTTCCCTTCTCTCCTCCCCCCCCTGAGCTTGGTTTTTCTTTTATCCATTCTTCATCACCTTTTTCATCTCTCACTTGCCCACAGCTCAAGGATTCTTTGAACACAACAATTTTTGCACCCATGGCTGACCTCAACACCACTGAACAAGCCCCAGCGGCCGAACCCGTCAAGCGCGATGAGGCTGCAGCTTTAGCTTCCGAAGTTCTTCCAGCTACCGACAAGTCGGCGGCCGCTCCCGCTGCGGCACCCACCGAGACCGTCACCCCGACAGACGCCGAGCCTCAAGTGGCTCAGCCCACGGAAGAGACTCCTGTTGAGCATTGTGAGGCTGTCAATGATGCTACCGCTATCCCAGCTGCGGCCGCAGTCAATCCCGCTGCTCCTGTCCCTGATGGGGCCACGCCCCAGGAGCCTCCGGTCGAGGAACAGCCCGAATACCTGACCAAGATCGCCGGCCTGACCCAGTTCTTCGAACAGCTGCCTCAGATCCTGACGGAGACGGGACATCAAGAGATGTGGGGCGTGGTCCTCAAGAATCACGAGGACGTGCCCACCGTGAATGTGCTGATCAAGTTCCTCCGTGCCAACGAGGGCAATGTCCAGGCGGCCCAGGATCAGTTGCGCAAGGCCCTGGAATGGCGCAAGGAGATCAACCCCATTGCACTTGTCGAGTCCGGCCGTTACAGTGCTGCCAAGTATGACGGTCTGGGTTACCTGACCACATATGAACAAGACGGCCGCCCTTTGGTCTTCACCTGGAACATTTACGGCGCTGTCAAGGATGTCAAGAACACCTTTGGAGACTTGAACGAGTAAGTGACCACGGTGCTTTAGATATCTCGTCCATCTCCCTGTGGTCGCGGAGGGGATATCAAGGAGAGGACAAGCTGACACTCAATCCAGATTTGTCAAGTGGCGTGCTGCTCTGATGGAGATGGCCGTGCAGGACCTGAAGATGAAGGATGCCACCGAGGTCATTGACTACGACGGCAAGAAGGACCATTATCAGATGATTCAGGTCCACGACTACCTGCACGTCAAGTTCTTGCGCATGGATCCCGTCGTACGCGCTGCGACCAAGCAGACCATCGAGGTCTTCTCGACTGCCTACCCGGAGCTCTTGCGTGAGAAGTTCTTCGTCAACGTCCCGTCGATCATGGGCTGGATGTTCTCCGCCATGAAGCTTTTCCTCAGCCGGAACACAACCCGCAAGTTCCACCCCATCGCGAACGGAGCTAACCTTGCCCGTGAGTTCCCCTCGGCCATTGGAGATCAGATCCCCAAGACCTACGGCGGAAAGGGCGCCGAGCTTAAGGAGGGGGCACGCACTGTGCAGTTGGTTGAGGATGAGGTGAAGCCTGAGCCGGCCCAGAGTGAGAGCCAGCCTACTCAGGCCTCATCTGATGTGGTTGCGCCCGCCGTCCCCGAGAAGGTTGAGCAGCCTGTCGCCGAAGAGGCCACTGCCCCCGTCAGTGCCCCCGTCAGTGCCCAGCCGGCCATGCCTGAGGTGCTGACCAAGGATGCCGCCGTGACGGAGGAGGAGAAGCCTGTGAGCGAGGTGGCCAAGTGAATGAGGGGCACCCTGGCTTACTCAATTTTTCAATTTTTCCTTTTCCATGATACCCATAGCACAGAGGATCGCCAATGGGCCCTCTCTACTTTTACCAAGGCAATAGGCCACTTTTTAATGATTAAATTCGGCATATTTTTAATCAAGTGTTCGTGACTCCAGCTCCCTTGCCATTTACCGTAATGTATGATCAGTCAGACGTAAAGATCCGAAGAACCCTCCCCTAAGTTGTGATGGCGGCGACAAAATCACATGTGCCCTTTTGAGGATCAAGTACGAGACTCAACCTCCTACGGCTACCCGTGATCGCCATTTGCGCAGCATCACTTGCCCTCGCATTCTGCCATTGCCTCAAATTCTCTCCCCCATCAACTTTGAATATCATTCAATCAAGAGCATCGCTATTTGAAAAAGAGTGCATACCTGCCTTGACCAGCTTTTTTCGCGTCGGTGAAACCGGAGCATGCGACCCTGCGCTTGAGCAGTGACCCTCTCTCTTCTCACCTCTAATCGTCGACCCGTCCCTCTTCTCAGATTAGATTCATCTCCACCGCCGACCGCGACTTCACCTCACATCCCACCATTCCACGATGTCGGTCTGGAATCCTGACAACATTCGCGATGTTGCAGAGTCGGTCGGTATCACGAATCTCAATCACGACGTGACAGAGAATTTGGCGCGTGATGTCGAATACCGGGTTGCGCAAGTGCTTGAGGAAGCACTCAAGTGCATGCGCCACGGCAAGCGCACTCTCCTGACGACCTCGGATATTTCCAACGCTCTGAGGAACTTGGACGTGGAGCCGCTCTATGGTTACGAGTCCCTCCGCCCTCTGCGATTTGGAGAGGCTTCGCTTGGTCCCGGCCAGCCGCTTTTCTACGTGGAAGATGAGGAAGTGGACTTTGAGAAACTGATCAATGCGCCTTTGCCCAAAGTTCCCCGTGAAGTCACTTTTACCGGTATGTTCTTACCGGATCGTCACGCGGTCTTTCTCAAGGTAAGATTCTGACAAGACTTGTTCTTGCTATTTAGGTCACTGGCTCGCCGTCGAAGGTGTTCAGCCTTCCATTCCTCAGAACCCGACCGCCGCCGATTCGCGCAACCTTGAGCTTGTCTCCAAGGGTCCCAACGCCAATTCTACCTTGGCAGCCATGAGCGGTAGCGGCGATGTTTCGGTGAAGCCCACGGTCAAGCATGTGCTTTCAAAGGAGCTGCAGCTCTACTTTGAAAAGGTCTGCAGCGCGTTCTTGGACGAGACGAGCGAGGAGTACCGGACTTCGGCCTATGCCAGTCTACGAGACGACCCAGGCCTTCATCAGTTGGTGCCATACTTTGTGCAGTTCATCGCGGAGAAGGTCACCCACACCCTGAAAGACATTTTTGTTCTTACACAGGTGATGCACATGGCCGAGGCTCTCGTGCAAAACACTTCTCTCTACGTCGATCCCTACGTGAGTATTCCCGCGCCTGGAACTTGTGTCCTGTCCACTGATGTGTTTGTT